CACATACAAGCACCTTACCAGTCTTGCTTCATTGTACACCCAGTTTTGTTTCTTAATCAGGTTAGAAAGTGGAGATACATTTAAAGGACGCACAGAACAGACTGTCACTTCAAATGGACATCATCTAACTAGTTCCAAGGTGGGATGAAGTGTCCCAGAAGCTCCACTGTGTTGCTTTGAGGTGAAAATAGGGTATAGTGTAGTAAGAGTTGGAAAATTTGTCTTTGATGACTTTCTTGTCTACTTGCTTTCCTCATCGACTTTGAATCTAGGATTCAGGATCTCTGAGTGGCTCATGGAACATTGCATCCTGGTCCCAAACTCCTTGTCTCATAAGGACTGACATTTGTTCAACCACAGCTCAGTGGGTCTAATTCAGACTCAGATGTTAATGAAAGGCAAAGGTGCAAAGGACCAGACTGATGCCTGATGCTCAGCTGTGTCTGCCAGGCCAGAAGGAATCCCCTCTGAAGTCCTTTGTCAGAACATGTTACATCAGTTCCATAGCTGTATAAATGCCAGCAGGAAAGTGACAAGCATAAAGTTTAGCATGAAACTGGAGCTTTATATTGTCACCTAGAAAAGTAACAGTATACAACAGTTTTAAAATACTGTCAAAAAGCCCAGTAGCATATATCAAAGGAAACTGGCTGCTGTGGGCCACCCCCACCACCCATACAACACCCAGGTCTTCAGGCAGGCGATTATACACCATCTTCACAGCACTCCTCCTCCACGGAGAGGCAGAGAGGTCTCAGTGATTGAGAAAGGTTGTGCCTTGGTGCCGCCTCCCACTGAGCAGGGGAGAAGATATTACCTGCACTCCAGAGAGTGATACAAAGCCAGAGCTGGGGCTGGCACTGCCGGAGGAGAGCTCCTGGATGACAGAAGTCAGCAGGAGGGTGGAGGTTGATAGCCAGGCAGCTCCTTCCTTGTCTATCTTCTGAAGGTGTCAGAGTGCAGATAGAATTGGTAGCTTGAGGTGTTGACTCATCAGTGTTGAAGTCTTCAAGACATTGTTATATGGCCCACACACTAATTTCTCCTCCTTCCCCTTCTCTTCCTCCTCCCCTCTCCCTCCCCCTGCTCCTCCTCTGCTGCCACCCCTCCTTATCATCCACTCAGTGTTCTTTGACTTTTCAAATACTCTGTTTTCCTGAGAAACAACAATTTGGCGTTTCTCTGGGCTGTCTCCTCTCTGGTTCTGGAAACTTCCATTCATAGCCCAGCAGAGTCCCAGGTCTGTACTTTTCTGCTCTTCACACTTAGGGTAATTAGGTGATAGACAGGCTAAGCTGTCTCACTTGAATAAAGACCACTGTATTCCTCCTGTAAGAGCTCAGGATGAGACCAGAGCCAATAGGAATGAGCTGTCCAGCCTTCCCACGCCTGTACCTCATGAGAGAATGTAAATGAATGGGAAGGATGGAGTCCAGTGCTTGTGGGTGAGAATTAAGAAGCTATTGAACCAGCCAGGATGGTACCCAAATGATTCCATATTAGGATGCTATGGAAATCACTTAATACCCTTCTATCACTCTAGCATACCATGCAGGCCAGTGCTATGTCTCGTCTTTAAGATCAAGCTTTATACTCAATGTGTATGTGAGAAAAATTTCAGTGCACACGGACACATTTCATTTGTGGTTCCTGATTCCTGTTTCATCTGTGTACCTGAGACAAAAGTCAGTGGGGATCCATTAGAACTGAGTTTGCTTTGGCAAGTACAGAGTTCAGGCTCATAACCAAGATCCCTTTTAAGTAGGTGCAGAATGCTCAGAGGTAATCTGGAAAAGCTGTAAGCCATTCACTGTAACACACTACAGCTATCTGATCTGGAACCTCCTGCTGAGTCCTCTTTTCACTCAACACTGCCACAGAGTCTGGGTTTTCATCTTGCCTCCCTGGCTGTTGAAGGTGTCACAGCTGGGTTGTTTATGCCTCTGATCAAACACTTCCAATTTTCCACTTTTATAAACAACTTCAAGCAGAAAAATTTTTAGTCCACCCTCAGAGTTTATGCTACTTCCTTGAAATCAATCTAAAGACCCCCTAAAAGGATGATGGATGTATTTTAGGCCAGGACTTCTCACACTGCAGCACGCATACGATCCTTTAGGCAGTGCTGTGAAAAACCAGTCTTCACTCATGGGTCTGGAGCCAGCCAGAGAGCCTGTATTTATAATAAACCCCTTCATGATGCCCACACTATAGTGAAGGCTTTGCACCATCCCTTGGACTTGGTGTATTGAAGAAGCACTTGTCAGATCTGTTCTCCAGGAGTCACTGTGTGGACTGAATGTGTAGGAGTTCTCATCTTTAGCAGTGTCTTCCAGTTGAGATGAAGGTTTGGTGAGTCTGTCACCCAGAGGAGAGCAGCTGCAGCACCTGACCTCAAGGAAAGCCCTGAACTCAATCATGACAGCCATTACACCTACAGGGGAGTTCAGATACATCATATCACACAACACTGCACCCAGGAACCGATGCATCCCATCTAGGGACCGTGCCAGACCCCTGCAGACAGACTAGCAATGGGACCTGGATACTAATAGTTTTCAAGTTTCCTAATCGACTGAAAGAGACTGTGTGTGTATCCAGGGTTGAGCACCATTGTTCTAAGACCTCAGAGATCAACCTTAAATCATACTGAGTTACAACTGCAACATTTTTTCCAACATCAATTCTTTAAAAAAAAATAATGTTCACAATACTTGTACCTATTTATAGGGTGGAGTATGCTAGTTTAATACTTGTAAACAATGCAGAATCATCAAGTCAGGGTAACTAGCATTTCCATCTCCTCAAGAGGTTTGTATACGTTGGATACTTCTGTTTATCTTAAAACATACAACAGATGTCATAGGCCATAGTCACCCTGCTGTGCTATAGAGCATTAGAACTAACTCTTCCTACTAAACTTGGTGCCTTTCACCCAAACTCTCTCTATCCCAATTATTCAGCCCAGCCACTGTGACCACTGTTTACTCTGCTGTGAGATCAAAATTGTATATCTTGCATGAGTGAATATTCATGATGTTTTTCTTTGTGTTTACTAGTTTTAATGTGGATTTGATATGCTCTGGAATCACTAGGGAAAGATTCTTAATGAGGAATTATATAGGAAAGACTGCCCTGTGTGTATGTCTGTGAGAGGTTATCTTAATTGGTAACTTAGGAAGGGAGAGGCAGCTCATTGTGGGCAGCACCATTCCTTAGGCAGGAGGAACCCTGAACAGTGTAAGAGAGGAGAACACTAGCTGAGAGCAAGCAAGGCTCCCTCCATGCATTTAATTCTCACCACTTTTGGCTATACATTGATGCTTTGGTGTCTTGCCTTGACTTCCCCACAATAATGGACTTGTAACCTGGAACTGTAAGTAAATAAACTCTTTCTTCCCTGAGTTGTTTTTTTTAGGGTATTCATCATAGCAACAGAAACAAAATGACAACAATCTTTCTTGGGCACACTTACTAGAGTATCTTCCAGATCCACTTATATTGTCATAAAGGAATGGATGAACGCTTGGGGGATTGCATATACTATAGCCAAACTCCGTGGTTTTAAGTCTTTGCATGTCTAAAATACATTAATTTTATATTTAAAGAAGAATTCAATGTGTTTGTCATGAGTGTATTCTCTATCAAGTCAACTCCTCTGTGGTATTTGCTGATGTCATCCTAGCAATGCTGCCATTGCATGTTCTATCTCTACCAAAAACAGGGGGTCATCTCAGGCTCCTGACTTGTCCCAACCCTTCTAATCTAAGCAGTTGTTACTGAATTTTGGGGGGATACACTTGTTTTCTTATTGAATGTAATAATTTTAAAAGAATCTCTCAGAATGGCCATGTCCTTCCATCAGCCCCTAAAGCCTGAGTTTTAGTTTGGGTTTCTATTGCTGTGAAGAGACACCATGATTACAGCAACTCTTTTAAGGAAAACACTTAATTGGTATGACTTGTTTGCAGTTTCAGAGGTTTAATCCATTATCATCTTGACAAGGAGCATGGTAGCATGCAGGCAGATGTGCTGCTTGATCTGAAGGCAACAGGAAATGGTCTCAGTGTCACACTGAGGGAAGTTTGAGCAAAAGAGCCCTCAGAGCCCACCCCCACACACACACACACATTGACACACTTCCTCCAACAAAGCCATACCTACTCAACAAAGCCACTCCCTTCGGGGGCCATTTTCTTTCAAACCACCACACGCTGTAAGAGCAGAGATGGTGTCCAGGGCATCTTTTTCTTCCCTCATTTAGCTTGTGTCTCCCTAGCATGTACTGGATAGCTGTTCTAGCTAGCTTTTCTGTGCTGTGATAAACCACTGAAAACAAAACACAACTTGAGGAGTAAAGGATTTATTTCACCTTTTAGGTTACAGTCTATCACTGAGGAAAGCCAAGGCAGGAACTTAAAGCAAGACCCTGATTACAGGCTTGCTCTCCAGCCCATGTTCAGCTATATTTCTTAAATAACCCAAGCTCCCATACCTAGGGATAGCACTGTCCACAGTGGGATGAGCCCTACTACCCCAATAGAGAAACTGCCCTACCAACATGCCATGGGTCAATGTGATGACTGCAGTTTCTTAACTAAGGTTCCATCTTCACAGGTGTGTCAAGTTGACAACCAAAATTACCCATCACAAGAGTCAGTACATCTTTGTTGAATGAATGAATGAGGAAAGGAGGGAGGAGAAGAGGAAGGGAGGGAGGGAGGGAGGGAAGGAAGGAGAAAGTGAGAGAGGGAGGCAGTGAGTGAAATAATCCTGACATAGAGTAGGCTTTGGGCACATGCAGGCCTGGAGGGTCATTCTCATGGCTGAAAGTTTATTCTAGAATGGTTATGGCAGGAGAACAGATCTGGCTACATGGTGCCTGGTTGTTCTGGGCATTGACCTTGGGGCTTGAAGATGGCAGCGAGGAAGCCTGAGATACACAGAGTTCTTGCTACTCCTCGCCTGGTAGGGTAATGCCTGCTTTTTCTCTTTGGCAGTTGCCTTCTCGGGCCTTGGTTTCACAACATTCTACCTGGCTGGCAAGCTGCACTGCTTCACGGAGAGTGGGCGGGGAAAGAGCTGGCGGCTCTGTGCTGCCATCTTGCCCTTGTACTGTGCCATGATGATCGCTCTGTCTCGCATGTGTGACTACAAGCATCACTGGCAAGGTGAGTCCCTGATCAGTCCTCCGAGAGGCCCCACTCTTCTTCCAAGGATGGGTGTTGGACATTCACTAATTGGGAAGAACCAAGTCCCTATTGTATGTGGCCGTAATGACACTGGCCTCTTCAACTGTGTCCTGGCATTCATCTTTGCCCTGCTGAGTTCTTTCTTCTCCTCTGTTTTCAAGAAGACTTTGTTCAAGTCCCGCCAGGATAGCAGGTCTTCAGTGTAGTCACTCTGGTCTCAGGCCCAAATGTAATTTCTCTGCTTGATTGGTCTCCAGACTCAGTGCCAAGTTGTTTTTGGCTCCTTTTCCATTGTAAATCCAGTCCCCAAGCACATATTTCTCACCACAAAGGCAGTGCCAAAGGTATGTCCAACCCAGGGACCAACTTTACCAATATTCTTAGTAACTACCATGAGGCTAGAGTAAGGCTCTGTCTTAAGGCTGGGGTGAGACTTAACATCTAACACAGCTGTAATGAGGCTTGTTTCTATAACAAGGCTAAGGCAAGGTTCACCTGTATTGCAAGGCTGACCTTCGACTTAACTCTGTCTCAAGGCAACACTTCTATCACAAAGCAGGGGTGAAGACTTGCCTCTATGTTTCAGTCCTAGAATATCCATTAAAACCTAAATCACAGCATTTGAGGGGTTTGTTCCTGGAATGTGACTGACCTTACCATATCTCTGCCAATAAAACTGCTAGTCACAGTTGGCCTGAAAGAGAATCACCACCTGCCATAGTAGACAGGGAGCAGATAGAGATGACAGTCATAGTAGCTGTGACTTCCAGGGACAGCAGGATCTATGGTGTGGCTTCCCAAAATGGCATCCTCAGAGACCACCTTGATCAGCCTCATCTCTATCCACTTAGTCCTGGACTAGTATCAGGGGTAGGATGGAGTCTGATGTGGTTTCTAGGGGCCTGCATGCTGACAAAGGAGCCTGTCCTTTCTGGTCACTTCTGAGAGTCACCAGTAAAGAGTTTCTCCTGCTCCCTCCCAGTTTCTGGTCTAATCCCAGCCCTCCTGCAGCTCATGTCTTGGGAGTCATATACCTGAAATGATATTTTGGAGCTGGAAGGTGCGGGGTACAGGGAAGAGATGCTGAAGCACAGTTAGATGGGGGATGTGTCACCGTCCCGTGTCCTCAGAATGGGGGAGGTTAGGAAAGGACAGCAGAGCTGTAGCTGCAGCCCTCCCTTGGTCTTTATTTTACCACTGAGTTGAGTGAAGTGCTTGGTGTCATGAAACCCACATTACAAGAAGGAAGAAGGGACAAAGTCCCTGGGTCAACAGCAACAGGGGCTTGTCTTCACTGCAGTGCTAGCCCTAGCAGTTTTCCTACAACCTTTGTTGCCTGTGGGGTTAGGGCTTCCCAGAAAGAACAGTGTGGACCGAATGGCCTTGTGTGAATTGTGTCTCCTGTTTCCCGGGGAACTCCAATTTCTTCTTGACCATACAATGATAATATATGAATATTTCACAGAGTAGTATCGTAGACTGAATGCAATAATGAACCCAACTGTCATTGGTAAATGCAAATGCACTATGTAAATCAGTTATCTCTGTTGCCTTGCTCACTGGTACTGAGGAAGGATGTGTAGCATTTCGTAAACAACTGACTTAGTGGCAGATGTGTTTTCCCAACATAATCTGTTTAAAAGCAACTGATACTGAGTTGCCACTCTTATTGGACCATTTTGGATTTGGGAAACAATGAAGGACTTCAAGGGGCTAGAGATGTAGCTCATTGGTGGAATACTTGCCTAACATGTGTGAAATACTGGTTCCATCCCCAGCACTACATAAATTGGGTGTGGTGGTGTACACTTAAGATTGTACTTATGATTCTAGCACTAGGAGGTGGAGACAGGATGACCTGAGGTTCAAGGTATCCTTGACTGTACAGTGACTTCACAATCATCCTGAGATGTATGAGACCCTGTCCCAAATTTTTTTAAAAGTTTCAGAATTGATGAGAATTGATGTTTTCCCCCTTCATCTTTGCATAATGATATTGTACCAACAGCCTAATATGTGAGGTATGCACCTCTTCAGCCATCTCTGATGCTAGCCTGGATTGTTGTCTTCTTTTCTGTAGCTAAGTAGCTGTGAGGAAAGAATGAGAGATTGTGTTTATTCAGTGTTCAGTTGTTTGGGGAGAGATGGAGGTGGCCTCTGAGGTTTGGGACTTGGCAAACACATAGCAGCAAGGCCTTTGATTGCAGTGTAGGTGGATGTTGGAAGAAGGATGCTTGATTGAGACAAATTGCTTGTTTCTCTGTGGTGAACTGAGCTGCCCAGCGACCATGGGTGGGACCATCAATCAAGGTGAAAATCCATGTGGAACCCCGTAGGCATCAGCAAAGCCCAAGTCCTTCTCATTATTAATGTTAGTTAACAGCATTACTATTATGGGATTTTTATGACTCCATTTCAATGTGATTTAAGCATGATACCAAATATGGAAATACAACCAATTACTTCATTACATATTCATATCTAATCAATATCCCATAATCTCGCATGGCTTACTTTTGTTAGTTATGATGTTGTTTTTTTTGTTATTTTGACCTCCCTAGTCCACTCTAAATATGCAAGTCTGCTTTTTTTACTAAATGAGAATGATGGGGGCATAAGCATAGATGGGGTTACATGTGAAATATTTAGTGAAACTTACCCAGAAAGAGAACTGGCTGGATGGATATCAAAACTCTATGTGGTGGATGCCCCCTTTGTCTTTGCACTAAGTTGATTTCCAGGTCCCTTGGATGCCAGAGAGACTTGCAGGTGGTGCCAGTGCAAAGCCCCATGCCTGGCAACAGGGCTCACCTTTGTGTTTAATCATGAACATGAGGCATTTGAACTCTGAAATATGTAGAATCTCCATGCTGGAGAAAATCCACACAGAGGACAGAGCATGCCTGAAGGAAGCTTCTGCCTCTTCTCTCTCTCTTGTGTATTTGTGGATCCTGGCCAAAGAAGAACCATAGCTAGACTTTGTAAGAACATGTACTTTGCTCTGTCCCAGGGTGTGTTAGCAGTCATGCAAGCTCAGACACAGACACATGCATGGCGCGCGCGCGCGCACGCGCACACACACACACACACACACACACACACACACAGAGAGAGAGAGAGAGAGAGAGAGAGAGAGAGAGAGAGAGAGAGAGAGAGAGAGAGAGAGAGAGAGTTCACCAGGTTCACCAGACCTCTCTTAGGTTAGCAGAAGCACTCCGTTGATTTTCTAAATGAAGGGACTTGAAAGGGTTTCTTAGGACTGTGTGGTTGTTCCCACCAGAAACCTACCAGCCCTAGGCTGAACCAAACATGAGCCTGAAGATCTCCTTCTAGGATACTCCATTCCAACTGAATGATGTATCTCCCCTCCATTGGCTACCTGTGTGACATAGCTGAGCTCACAACATTCCATGCTATTTAGGAACCTCAGAGCCCAGATGTCCATGGTAAGCACCATATCTATGATGGTGCTAAGGAGAGTAGGAACAGTCTGAAGCCCCATGGTGCTCCTGTCACCATGCAGAGCCCACCCAACAGGCAGAACTTGGTCCATGGGAGTATTCCTCAGCTGGGCCTTCTGTATCTTTCTGTACTTGGCTGGTCCATTGCCCAGTTTCCTTGGGGAAAGATGTCACTTGTTCCTGGGCTCCATGGACACCTTGCTTCAATTTATTCAGGGAATGCTTCTCTTCTCAGCTTCATATGCTTTCCTTTGGACTTTTATGTTCAAGATGTTTCTAAGCCGGGCGGTGGTGGCGCACGCCTTTAATCCCAGCACTCAGGAGGCAGAGGCAGACGGATCTCTGTGAGTTCCGGACCAAGCCTGGTCTACCGAGCGAGTTCCAGGACAGCCTCCAAAACAATATAGAGAAACCCTGTCTCAAAAACCAAAAAAAAAAAAAAAAAAAAAATATATATATATATATATATATTTCTAGAATCCAATCCCTCTCACCAGCCTAGTCCAAAACTCCTGGTGGTCTTCATCCTTGTCCTTTAAATGCATCCGGCGAGCCTTCAAAATCATGGGTTTTCCCATAAATTCCTCCATCGATGCTCTGTTCCTTCAGCATCAGAACCCATACCCTGCAGTGGTGTGCAAAATCCCATCCTTCAGACCTGCTACTCGTGTGACTTCTTGCTGTTCCTTGCAACGCTCCAGGATTATCTACCACAGGGCCTTTGCACTGGCTTATTCTTGTGCCTGCAATCCTTTCCTCCTTGATGTGGGCATACAATGATGATCCTTTGCCCTCCTCTAGCCTTGTTTCACACATCACATTGGTATACACTAGAAAATATCATTTCACTTACATCACACCCCTCATATCCTCTACCCTGACTCATTTGCTACCTTCTAGCAGCTAATTTAGTGCATACTGACAATTGTCTGTTCCAATTCCCCAGAAAAAGGGAGGAAGGCAGACTTTGTAAACACTGTATATAGACCTTATGTAGATAAACCATTTCTGTGACAATTATGTGAAGGCAGCTATAAATGATATGTAAATGAGCAGATTTGTGTCATTTACTGGTTCCTCCAACATAGGTAGGAATATTTGCATGTGATATGCTATCTTCTGATGGAGTTCACTAGAGTGTCTAAAACAAACATCTAAGCACCAGGTGTTTAGAATGACAGCAGTATATTGTCTTAACAATGTATTTTCTTACTATTCTGGAGGCTGGAAGCCTGTCCTGGAAGCCTGAAGAATGACTTTTCCTTGCCTCTCCCAGTTTCTCATGCCCAAGATGTTCCCTGGCTTGTGGAAGCCGAGTTCCAGACTCTGCTTCTGTCTCCATGACACTCTGTCTGCATCTCTTCACATCGATCTCTCTGCTTTCATCTACCCTAACCACCCTCTTTATAAGGATTCCAGTCATGTTGGGCTAGTATCCAGCCCAATGGCCTCATCGTCTAGAAAGAACCCATTTTCTGCTGCAGATATGGTTTCTTGGTAGAGTGATTACCCATCATA